TTGCTTCTTAATCAAATTTATAGTATTTTTTTTTTATTTATTTATTCATTTATTAAAATTAAATTATGAAAATGTGGAAATTTCGAAGACCCTTCAATTATACTTCAAGTTTGTTTTGTTAGTCAAATTTTTAGTATTTTATTTAATTTTTATTCATTTTATTTATAAAATTCAGGTATGTAGGTGTGGAAGTTACCAAGATCTTTCCCTTAAGTTTTAAGTTTCAGTTCTTAATCAATTTATATATAAGTATGCCTGTAAAATATTTTATTATATTGTATTCCTGCCTCTACTCATCATTGCCTTCATATAAATATCCTCCTGTATATACACATATATAGCCACATCTATCCCTCCATTCACAGTGCATTCCTCAAGTCAAATAAAAATACTAAAAAACTAATTTCATATTTTTTCTAGCTGCCTTCACAAACAATTGTCGGGCACGCGTTTTGCATACGTGCATGGCAGTTGGCTTATGAAAGGAGCTCGTTTCGGGCAGCTCTTAAAGCCAGCTGCTGCTTGGACTGAACGTGGCTGAGTGTGGCAACGTAAGCCACGTTAAGATGACGTTTGGTTTTGGTGCTAGCAAATACGCAATAAATGCGTCTCGTTGCGTCTCCCAGTAGGCCTGCGGCCAAGATTGCATTGCAAATTTTGTCATCAACATATAAATGAAGTATGAACGGCAGACGTGTCTGACTGTCAATTGGAAAAACGAGCCAATAAATCCAAGGTGGCATAATAACCATTTCGATAAAAGGGAAAAACAACAGAAACTGCTTCGCTTACTCGACTTTGCCAATTTCAAATGTAATTACTTTAGCTGAGCCCCGAGATTTGCGGCAATTCACATCTGAGAAATTACTTAAAAAATGCAAACAAAAAAGAAAAAATAAATTCCGATTTAATATGCAGCAAATTCGAATGAATATGTATGTGTGTGTGTGTGTATATAAATGTATAATTTAATCAAATTTTGAGTGTGTGTGTGTTTGTGTGTGGGCTTGGGGAACGAAACGATAACGATCCGGTTTGCCTGCAGGCGTTGGCAAATTAAATTTGCATGCCGCAATTCCATGCAACAAAAAATGTCAAAGTCCGAACTTGTGTCGAATTATTTACTAAAGAAAAACACAATTGTTTGTAGCATTTGCGGCTGGACCACAAAATTCGACCATGCTGGCATGAGTGCCCAACGCCCCGACCACTCCCAGCCTCCCGCCCCCTATTAAGGTAGCAGCATAAACAACAACAAACTGCGACATAGGCAAATAGAACATATTTTTGTTGTGCGAGTAGATTTGAAAATTTGTTAATTTGCGCAAAAGTTTGCACTGCATTTCCTCTGGCGACGTGTGTGGCACGAAACCATGCAACGGGGTGAACTGAATGGCTAGAGGTGAGCACGTGCCTCAGCGTGACACGACAAATAGAGGAATTAAAGCTGGGATGTAACCGGATGGAAGTGGAGTAAAATGTCCATAAAATTTAAAGGATGATCATGACTAGAGATGAGCAGATGATCTTTTGCTATCATGAAACGAAAATAAATTCATGGAAGAATCTTATTTTTGTAAAACTTGATGATAGTAGTGCTATAAAGTACTGGTCTGATTTCGGAAATTTGGAAAAAGAGGAGACATTATTTATGAAATGAATATTGTAATAACTCCAAAATGTATACACTTAACATCTAACTTACCAAAGTAAAGATCTTACATATGGAATTAACTTGAGTATAGAGTAGACATTTATTATTTATTTATATCAATGTCAATATATTAGAATATATATAAGAAGAGATCTAAATATATATTTAATACTCAATCATAGTTTTATATCAAGTAGCTTTGTCACTCACGACACGCACTCATCTCTAGTTCAGCCTCACGGGCTTGTCGCCTGGCTGGGCGATTATGTGATTTGGCTGGACTCGGTCGAGCAGCGAGCAGCACTACGAGGTCTGAGGCTTACCACTTTACTGTAATTAATGCACATAGCACATATTTGAAAATAAAGGCATAGCATAGTCCAAAATATTCATTTGCTTTGGACTACAATTAGCATAGGCAAAGCAATAGCAATCAAACTGCTTATATATGGCATGTAGCTAAATATTATGTTTATATTGACTTGCATTGATAAATAATTTTAAAAATTATTTAAATTAGTTTATATTTAAGGCAAGTTGGAATCAAGGTGGACGAACTATTAGAAGATGCTGAGAAAGTTGTACCGAAATAGTGGCATACGAATTCAAAGATTTTCAATGAATTGATTGTGCCTTTATAGCTCCTAAAATGAGCAATATATATCAGACAATAGCCGAAGTTTTTAGTTTGTTTTCACTCTATCAATAGGAAAACTTTGAGCTTGACTTCTATCTATCTATCAATAGCTGAAGT